ATGTATTGTTTTTCGGAATGCATGGGACTTCTGCAAACCACAAAGCAAGACCACACATTAGACCACTACGCAAGTTTCAACAAATACCAAAGAATCAACACATCCTACAGGCCACATTCTATGAATTCAGTGCAATGAAATTTAAACTGAATAATTTACAAGTAAATTAAGAAGATAACATAGTTCAGAAACTTAAAGATACACTTCAAAATCTAAAACAACATCATGGCTAGGTGTGGTGGTTCACATCTGTAATCCCAGCACTTTGGGAGGCTGAGTTGGGTGGATCATGTGAGTTCAGAAGTTCCAGATCAGCCTGGTCAACATGGCAAAACCCCTTCTCTAATACAAATACAAGAAATTAGCCAGGCATGGTGGCATACACCTGTATTCCCATCTACTTTGGACCTGAGGTGGGAAGATCACCTTAGCCCAGGAAGTTGAGGCTGCAGTGAGCTGAGATTGCACCACTGCACTCCAGCCTGGGCGACAGAGCCAGACCCTGTCTCAAAACAAACAAAGACAATATCATGATTGGAAATAGAAAAAACATCCCTAAATAATAATGAAAACATTAAATATCAAAACTTATTGGATATAGCTGAAATCGTTTAAAGGGAAATTTATAGCTTTAAATGCATATAGTAGAAACAAAAAAGATTTAAAATTAATGATCTAAACATTCATATCAAGAAAATTAAAAACAATAATAGAGGCTGGGCACGGTGGCTCATGCCTGTAATCCCAACAGTTTGGGAGGCCGAGGTGGGTGGATTACCTGAGGTCAGGAGTTTGAGACCAGCCTGGCCAACATGGCAAAACCCCGTCTCTACTAAAAATACAAAAATTAGCCAGGTGTGGTGGTGGGCGCCTGTAATCCCAGATACTCAGGAGACTGACACAGGAGAATCTCTTGAACCCAGGAGGAGGAGGTTGTAGTGAGCCGAGATCACGCCACTGCACTCCAGCCTGGGTAACAGAGCGAGATTCTGACTCAAAAAAACCCAATAAAAACAAAATAAACAAAAAACAACTAACAACAAGAAAACAGGGTTAGGTTTTTCACACCTTTGAGTCTGACAAAACTTAAGGAGCCAGGGCTGGGCACAGTGGCTCACGCCTGTAATCCCAGCACTCTGGGAGGCCGAGGCGGGCAGATCATGAGGTCAAGCGATCGAGACCATCCTGGCTAACACGGTGAAACCACGTCTCCACTAAAAAATACAAAAAATTAGC